TATATTTCTTTTTAAACGAAGTGGAAACTACAACAAAACTAATAAATTATGTTCCTGCCTCCAAGTATCAAGTTATTATTAACGTGGACTTATCTCTAATGCAAGAGAAGCCTTCAGAAAGTACACAATATTTGAATTGCTTCATGAGGCTTACATGCTTTCCTCAAAAGCATTTCATCCAATCTCTGTGACTGCCGAAATACGAATTTAAGAAAGGATTTTGAAATATAATGATATATTGATGCAACATATATCTACTAAAATTGTAACAAATTGAAATCTGCGTTGAAAAGTCAAGCCCAGATATCTCACAATCCATAATATCTTCTAACAGGTTAAAACTATGTATCCAAAAGATAAGAATGTTCTATCACTTTTTGAAATCCTGGCGCTGAATTCTATTTGAAAATATCTTTGCTTGACATCACTTTGTCAAAAGTTTCACTGTGAAAAAGTTATGATCAAGTCAAAGCACGCAAACATGATTTAGACTCAAAATGCTTGAAAACATGAAGGGTTGCCACTTCCGTCGAAGTCTACAAGACTTTGAGGCTAATCCACTATGACGATATACTAAACTACAGTACTGAGCTGTAATGGATTCTAAATTGCAAGGGAAAGTGTATAAAGCTCCTAGGCATACACACTATTAATTAATAAATATCAATATTAACTGATCATTAGTCCAATTGAATGTTGCCCGCAGCTCCCTTTCAGGTAGGTTGCGACAAAACGCTGTACTTTTCATGATTGTTGGAGCATTAGTGAACATAAAAGCGGTGTTCATGCAATCTTGCTATGAGGACTCAAGCTTTGTAAACAGCCCACTTACTTTGAAAAGGGGAAATACCCCTATTTTCAAATATAACTCATTAAAATATATTAGTTTCCACTCGTATTTAGAGGAATTTCAACCCAATCTATGCACGTACATAAAGGAGTTAGCAAGTTAGCCGCGCAATCAGAGTACTCCCAAGTTATTTCAATCTAGGGCACCATTGGCTTTCGAAGGGAGTACGGCTTTGTCTAGTTAACAGCTATAATTGGACTTTAGGAGTTAAGTCACAATCTACCGATTCGTAGGTACGAGAAAGAATAATCTAAAATCTGGCGATGGCAGGAGTCTAATTAATCGGCATAGCAATAAAAATGGCTGCTTATTCGTAGGAGATGTGGTACATTGCCTATGTGCGTATTGTCTGAAGTTTGAGTAAAATGGCCCTTACTTTATGGTTGCTCGACCCTTTTTTCGTAAAAGTATCAAGTCGCAAATTTGGTTTCGTTTACTATGCGGTTAGGCACCAGCTGGTTGAAGATATGTGATTAATAGCCTATTGAACAAAAGTGCACTTTTGACTGGGTGTCACCCCTCGTACAATGCCATGGTTCTACCAAAGGAGTAGACAGACAATTTGCTGCTTTTACCTCTGTTTAGACTCATTTCTGTTTGACTGCTCGTTTGTCCATTCACTTAAAGGTGAAGCAATCAGTTGTAATTGGTGAATTCTTTGTTTTTATGGCCATTTTCAGTTGAACTGGCGAGCTGTCTATTGCACTTTTCAACTGCTCCATCTCAACTATGGTTGAGTGGAAGGATAAGAGGCAAGAGAATAATCTCTAGTCTGTGACCAATGTACCTAAAGGGTTAAGTGATTCCTCAGCATTTCATTCTGGATCCAGGTGCTTATAAGTTTCCTCATCGGAATTTTTCCAAACAGTGCATGACTGACTGCTCAACGACCGTGGACAGGAAGCTGAAGAACCCGGTTTGGTTGGCCCGAGAGACCTCTTTGCCACTTGGCCAAGAGACCCACTATCGTTCGAAGTGAGTGAAATAAGAGATGTTTTTCTTTTAACTTCGTTAAAAGTTCGCAGTTTTGCAGACATTTTTGGTGAAGGACTTTGAATCTATTCGTTCCACTCGGACAACTTCCTCGGGGTTAAGCATACAATACAAGGAGTTGAAGCAACTCATTTTAAAACCGTTGCCCATTAGACCGGTTTAGTTCCGTTAAGCGACGCTAAAACTTTGTTCCCTTTTTTCTCCTCTTATTTTGTAAAGGTCAAGGTGATACCTTTCGATTACTGTCCCCACATTCAGAAGCGATCATTAAAATTATTTTAAAATTGTTTGTCTGGCCATCCAGAGATTTGTTTATCTGATTTCTTAGAACTCTGCTACGTGCTGGGATGTTTCTGTGCCCTAACTTGCCAGCGAAAGAGACCAATAGGAAAGAGACTTGTATGCAACAAAAGTAACGTACAAGTAAGTTAGTAACAAAATCAAAATGATTAATATTATCTGTACCTTGTCTGGCTCTATGAGGTAAACCTGGTGGTTGCATACGCTGAGGAGGTGTGAACATGAGGTGTAGGGTCTGTGGAAAATGACGCTTTGGCATGCTAAAGAGGCGTACTGATGCCCGTTTTCCTGACCCGTGATTCTTTTATAGTTAAGAACCTGGATTTCGATGAAAAGACCTTTCTTATTTTAGATGCTTGTCTAGGCTACTTCACACACGAGCTTTTATTGGAGAGACTATGTGTGAGACATAGAATTAGAAATTAAGTATTGTGTCGTGACTACCAGTAAATCAGTAATATGAGATGTATTCACCCAATTTCGTTTAAGCTGATGAAGGACTGGTAGAAGAAGAATTTTCCCACAATGATATGAATTAAGCTGACGTTTTCATTGAATTTCACATAGCCTTGCTTTCCCAAAAGTTTTTAGCATCCACACAGAAGTGAACTGCAGTTTCGGCCTCGCATCGGTCTTATCAACACCCTCAGGGGGAGTCGAACCGTGACAGTGCAGGATGGGAGCTGGACACACTAACCACTCGGCTACACTACCACGAGCGCCTTTTGGGTCACAGGGCAAATGTGAATTTTCAAGGAATGCCAGGCCTTTTTATTTGTCATATCATATTCTTTTGGTGGAATTGTCGATGAAGCAAACGTATATCTGCTATAACAATCGACTACTATACTTTATTTTTCAAATTAAGTATTTTTTTCGTGACTACCAGTAAATCAGTAATATGAAATGTATTCACCCATTTTCGGTTAAGGTGATGAAGGACTGGTAGAAGAAGAATTTTTCCACAATGATATGAGTTGATGTAAATACTAAGGTGGCTTAAAAGATTATAGGCATATATCAAAGAAGATGTAGCTTTCAACTAACATCGAAAGCTTTCGTGAATTTCCAAGACTAATTCTACCAGTCCTTTCTCACATTAAAAGAAATTGGGTGAATACATCTTACATAATTAGGATTTATAACTTGCTGATTAAGGAATACCAACCCTCTAAATCGAAAGAAAGATGGCCAGACAAAATATGTTGAAATAATTGTAGTGAACAAAGCTTAAAATGAGGCTAACAATATATGTGTTAAAACTAATTGGGGATAGCGAATTGTTAATATAATTCAAACGGCAAAGGGGCGAGATGGGCAAAAAGATACAGCAACGCTTAACTTGACCAAACCAATCTAATGAGCGAAGATTTAGAATGAACCATACTTCGGGACTTCAGGACGACACTTCAGAACTATACGAAGCAACAATGACTTTAATTAAAGCCCTCCACTTTTAGAAAATTGCATCACCACGTTTGCTTTCTACTTGTGCCAGGGTGTGCCTTTGTATGAACCGTTCCGTATGAAAATTTTGGTTTCATACTTTTTTAAGAGTTAAAACTTACTTCTAGGATTTTGTAGCTACTCCAACCCTCGAGACTTGAAGTTAAGACCTGATCCTGACAGCAACTTCGGATCCGGTTAAAAAGGATCCAATTTCGGGACGAGCAGCTTAATTGACAATAGATCGCATATCAAAAAATGTTAATGGTCTACTCGATTCATGCTAAGATAATGTGCTAAGACAAGCAAATTTTTACCTCGCCGAACCAGCCAAACATCACAAACTTTCATTTTTTTTCTCAAGATCCTTGGTTAAATATACTTAGCCCACAGCAAATATCCCCACACAACCAGGTATGGATGCTGTAGGCACAACGCCGGCAATTCAAGATTTCGGTGCTATTCAAATCCCAGTTATGCATTTAATGTGGATAACAAATGGCGCTTAGATTACTGAAAATTACACATTTTTCCTACTCTCGGAGATTATAGACAACTATGATGGAGGCCGAGAAAGTGAAAAGCATACTACCTACAAAACGGACACTAGACGATATCTCATCTAGCCGGAATAGTCGACAATTAGACGAAAACATTTCACTATAGATGAAAACACACTCCTATAAAAATATAACAATGCAAATTGAAGGCACCTTATAAATAAGGTTTTAGCTGATGACAACATTTATCGAATAGCTCCGAAACGGGAGCATAAAAGATGATGAATTTACTTTGCGAAATTAAAGTAAAGCTTGAGTTCAAAAGGGTTTCAGATAGTGTGTTTAAGCCTATAAGCTCAATACTTTATAACCTAAGAGGCCATATTCGCCTTTCTACCTCTTACAGTTTACTTTTTTTAATTTTCCTGTTCCGATTCTTTTTTATCATTCAGTTTTAGCTCAGTTTACGACTTTACATTGCCGCGTTGCACGCCCACCAAAAGTCGAACAGTCACAACTTCTACTTTTCTTCGGGCTTCGAATGCATCAAACCTTCATTCTAGCAACCCTTTGTCTCAATCTTGTCAGTCTTTCTTGACCAAGCGGGGCGTTGAGCTTGATAAAAGTCAATGCCATTCTCCTGGAAGGGCATTTGCTTCTGATGGCCTCAGAGAGACCATAAAAGAGGGAAATCATTCCGGAAATAGCAGTTTCAAGCTCCAGGCCAGCCACTTTCCTACTAGCCTAAGGCGGCGACTTCGTCGACGAGGCGATCAATTCCCTCTAATACAGACGGATGTTCCACTTGATAATCTAACCATCTACCGAGTCGATTACAAAAATGGTATGTTTCCGACAACTTTACAAGGAGTCTACGGACCGATAGTAAAGTCAATCGGTTTCGACTAGCTTTACCTCATTTTTGATACTCGTCGCAATTGCTTTTCCACCATTTTACAGGAGTATCTCT